ACATATATATCTTTCTAAAACATATATTATTATGTTATCTTTTTGACATTACATTTATAAAAGGTAAATAATGATAATATACATTATGATATAAAATAACATTAGTATTTATTTTTATATAAAACATAAGACATTTTATTGTAAAAACTTATATAAATGTACATAAACAAAAATTATGATTGAAATGTATATTTTCTTATCTTATATCCCGGAAACATATATATTATTTATGATGAACGTGTTTAAATAATCTTTGTTTATTTTCATTTATTTCATTTATTTGTGTGCGACAACCAAACTATAATGCGAAGGTCTCGGTGTTTACATGTAACAGTTAAGTTAAAACATTTCAATATATTTATTCAACGGCAACAAAATCAACGTGTTTTAAGTACAAGTTAAAAGCGTAAAACTGACATACGCTTAAAGTGTGAATCCATCCATCCATCCATCCATCCGTCCGTCCGTCCGTTCGTTCATTAGTTCGTTCGTTTATTCATTCATTCATTTATTCTATTATTCATTCATTCATACGTTCACTCATTCATGTTCTAAGTTCTTTAAAAGTGCACTAAGCCGTAACATCTCGACATCTCGACATGAACGACCCCCAGGTTGCAAAGGTCAGATGAGGTTATATCTTTATATTATCATAACAGTGTATGTTAGATAGACAGGAGCTGAATATCTTTCATTTCTTTTTTCTGAACTTCCCTGAAACTCTTAGCATAAACTGGAGCTAGATAATGTTTTTTATATGTGCTGAACTTACAGAAAAATCCGTGTGTGGAAAATATATTAATAGCATAATCCTTTATTTCAACCTTTGTAAAACTGTAAAAACACATTGCAACGTAGAAAATAATTCATCATTCAATGCAAAATAAAATGTTTTTCGTAATCAAATGCTTATCTGTTGGCTAGATAGGAAACATGTGGTTACATGACATTTTAATAGCACGTGTTGTGGAACTGACTTACTCATCTAACATATTCGGGGATTTGTGATGCATCTCTTTAAACACTTTAAAGTACAAAAGTGCAAACTGATAAGAAATAATAGTGGGAAGTGGATACATAGAAGTAAAATATTATACCATTTTAGACAAAAAGTACTTTCATATAGCCGCACGTTTAGCTCAATAGATAGAGTGTTGGACCGTGAATCGGGCGACCAGGATTCGATTTCCGGATTTGGCAGGTCATTTCTGTTGTGATTGATCATGAAATCCTTACTACGGTCATTCGCACTGTAAATCTGTTCTGACATGTACATGAAGTATTCAGTTCCTTGCGAACGTGAGTGCAAGTAGTACTGGTAAACTGCTTTGACAGCCTGCCCAGGGACGATGCAGTGGCTAAGCTGTGCTCTGATAAATTCAATGTGGTTTATTGCCGTGATCCGGAGTGAATACAACCAAAACCACCACCACCAGTACTTTCAAGTGAAGGAAATGCTACATATAAATATGTACTTTTGTAAAAGTAAATAAATAGATAAATGGAAGGTTCTAGTTTAGTGCAATTGATTAACTAATGTAAATATTCGATAGTTTAAAGATGCTTTGTTTTGAAATCACCTTTATTTTGAATCGCAGAAAAATATCTTGATGAGTATTTGCCTTAGACTGAAATAGTTATTTATTAAATTAGTGTTGTTAAAAGTATAGACGTTTAAGATGTTACAAGATAGACTGAATAATGCAAACTTGCACTTTCTGAACGATACGATTACGTTAAATCCACATAAATAAGTTACTAAGATTGGAAAGCAGAAATGCTAATATATGCCATTTGCTGCACAATGTGTAAGTATTAACTTGTCTCTTTGATACCTCGCAACATACGCAAAGTTAAAGATTTGATATCTACGTTCCTATTTTATTTAAACAAAGGTTATTAACAAAGAAACAAACAAAGTTTTATACGGATTGTAATTGCTGTGACTACATAACTCGAAAGCATCATAATTATATCACAAATGATTTAAAGTTCTCTTGTGAAAAATTGCTTGATCATTCTTGCGGCCGGTGACTTAAAAATATCGTCATCTCTTCTTACCCTTCAAATAAAATGATCCGGCATATATAAATGCTTTGAATGGTTTATTAAAAAATGTGTTTGAAATTCTTTTCTATTTTTCAATGATATTAAAGTGTGTTTACATTAAAATAGATACTTCATTACAAGTGATGCACTATTTATATAAATTTTATAACATGAATTGAACAAAATTAACCTGAGGCTTATTCATAAAAAATCATGAATCATTACGAGAAGTTATTAACTTTTTAGAATACTATTTCACGAATGCTTTTATTTACTCAGACCTATATCATGGCATTGCCACGTGACTGTTCCTGCCAACTGATATGTTTTCCGAAAAGTTAAACATTCAAGGAATGAAACAGACAAAACTGTGTAAAAAAAACGGCACAAATCTACTACATCACTTTATTTTTCTTTTTAAAAATCTATTTACGTAGCATATACAACATTGAAAAATATTCTTCAATGAAAAACAATATTTTCGTTCTCAAATGCGTATTTATTTTTCTAAATAGATAACATTCTATAAATAAAAAATTCTTGGCTGTGATAATTGTTGAAACATACCATTTTGATAGCTGTCTGGCAAGTTGTAGAGTTTTTTGTACCGATCGTACATTTTAAAATACACGGATATTTTATAGAGAAACCAGAGTGCAAGTTAATGATAAATAACTTAAGGAAGTTACATCTAATTAATACCATGTAACTCGACAGAACTTATATTAGGAAAACGATGGGTTTTTTACATAAAAAAAGCTGCATTAAAACAAAAGTGTGCCTGGAATATGCACTTTTGCAAAAAATTATAAAAACTAGAAATGTGTCCATAGGACACGGATGCCCCCACACGCCACTGTTCTGTCAATCTTATGACTCTAGGTCAAATATTTTTGGACTACATGTGCCACAAGTTGAAAACAAAAAATCAACAAAGGGCCATAATTCTTTTAAATTTGGTCGCAGCAAACATTCCTTCCTTTACTACCATCTACACATTACGATTGTTCATCCCTGGAAGTTTAAGCAAAATCTGCTATCCGGTTTAAGAGGAGTTGCGTTCACAAAATTTCTACATAGTATATAGTGAAAAAATCAATTAAGGGCCATAATTCTGTCAAATTTGGTCGCGGCAAAAATTCCTCCCTTTACTACCATCTACACATTAAGGTTGTTCATCCCTGGAAGTTTAAGCAAAATCTGCCATCCGGTTTAAGAGGAGTTGCGTTCACAAAATTTCTACATAGTATATAGTGAAAAAATCAACAAAGGGACATAATTATGTTTAATTTGGTCGCAGCAAAAATTCCTTCCTTTACTACCATCTACACATTAAGGTTGTTCATCCCTGGAAGTTTTAGCAAAATCTGCCATCCGGTTTAAGAGGAGTTGCGTTCACAAGATTTCAGGACGTACGGACGGACTGACAGACGTACGGACGGACGGACGGACACTCGGACGGACAAGTGCAACGCTATATGCTCCCACTTTGTGAGGGCATAAAAATAATTGAACGTTTGACTTTTTAATTTAATGTCTAAAAGATTAAAATATGGTAATAATTACTTTTTAATGTGTGGTTAAGGTCTTTGTTGCTCTTTCTCTTAGTATTTTTTCCGCCGACTAAAGTAGCTCTATCATACATGATTGTGTCTGCTTAAAGTGCCGACTATCTGCTCTTCTGATCTCTTTCAAGAGAAACATTGATTTTATCTGACTAAATGACGCAAACTTGCACTTTTTGAGGGATAATAAGTTAAATTCGGTTAATTGAATTTATCAGGCTGATTTGTGCCTTTTGCTGCACAATGTATTTGTCTGTCTCTATTGATTCCATACAACATGCACAAATTTTAATAATTGAATTGCTTTCAAATGTTCTTACCATTAATTTTATTTTAAACAAAGGTTATCAACAAAATTAAGTTAAAACTCATTGTGTTTCAATAAACATCTTGTAAAAGAGAAAAGAATAGCATTGGCTGCAGCGGCCAAAATACTTCTTTGATTTTATTATCAAAGGAACTCCACCAAGGACCTAATGACTTTGAAATATATACACATTTTTTCATTGATGTATCATTGGGATCATTGATGCCATTGAGAATTGAGTACCGCTCATGCCGGTGCTAGGGCGTGATTAATGCTTCCGAGGGATCACTTTGTTTTCAGATTTTTACCCAATCAATTTAAATAATTCGACAAATGTTATCTTTGAAACGAGAAATCGAAATATTTTCGTATCTGCTTGGCTCCGCTGGCATCAAAGCGTTCCGAGTTTACATAACAAAAAGAGTCAAAAAAGTTAATCGAAGATTTCATCTTGTTAGGATGCCATTTATTGCTTAAACGTAGCAAACTGTCTTGTATCATCTGCTTATTACCCAGTCCTTGTGATGGATGTGTATGTGTGTGATAATTTAGAAATGTAAAGCATGTAAATAGGACAAACTGTTTTTTTATTATGAAACCATTTACTTATTTTACTAGTGCAATGTGCACTATTAGAATACACTTGACATCACGATTTGAATCGACATTCACATTAACGCTTGCATGTAGGAGAAGCTGTTTCTATCCAGGCTGATTTCATTTTGGTACAGCTTTATCATCAAATTCAATAAAAAGTTATCTTCCAAAATATTTATCAACAATTCACATTAAAACATCACGAGCATGTAGGAGAAGCTATTTCTATCCAGGCTGATTTCATTTTGGTACAGCTTTATTATCAAATTAAATAAAAAGTTATCTTCCAAAATATTTATCAACAATTCACATTAAAACATCACGAGTGCATACGTTATAATGATACGAAAGTTTTTTTGTTTACTTTTTCTATCTAAAGTAACGTTTTTGTTTGATTGGCGTCTAGTTGCATTTAACCGCAGCGAGTGCTTATCAAATATCAAATTATAAGTGCAACAGTCACAGGAATAATTAACCACGGCATGGAGGTTTCCACACATTTGTTGATATATGTCAGTACAGCCATGATCCGAATCTTACATTAAATGTCCTTCTAAAGACTTTTCTACACACATCAGAGAAAAATGTAAGTACTGAGATATTATTTTAGTACTATTTTTTTGTTTTTATCATATTCCTTAAATCAATAAATTACATGCAATATTCAAATTGCCTATGGTTTTTTTTCCTTTCGATTAATTATGTATTATGTTTTTGGTACTTTTTTTTGGCTCTCCACATGTTGATGATACTTAAGAAATAAGTCAGACTTTCTACAAGTATTTGGTGATATTTTAAGGAGTTTGTTGCTCTGGCAAAGTTGCTAGTGACACTGTTGTCAAAAGTCAGTCCCAGTTTGAAAGCTGTTTAGGATTTTTGTGCTTTTGATCTTTGGAACGGAATCTAGATATATTTTTTTAAATTTTGTTGCCTTTTTGGTTTCAGGGCAACAGACTTCCAGCTACTCTGTACTTGCAGGCAGACAATTGTTTTCGAGAGAACAAAAACAAATTTGTTCTAGCATTCTGTGAGCTATTGATCAGATGTGAAATATTCACAGAGGTAAGTCTCATTTTATCATTGAATGGTTAGCTTGAAGTTCTGGAGAAGTTGGAGTTCAAGTGTTAAACTCTCACTAGTATTTATAGTAAAAATAAGTGAATGTTAATTATTGAAGCAAAGCTCTAGACTAGTATAGTATATCAGATGGGGTGCACAATACAATTGGAACTATAATTGTGCTGCGATAAGGCAAAATTGATGTTTCAGGCATAGGTTTTAGTATTCCAAAAAGTACATGATTAATAACTTATAGTTCAAGGTGAAAGTTATTCATATTAGGGAAAAATGTTTTTTGTGCCCCCACTTTAAGGGGGGGGGGGGGTTAGATTTACCCTTGTCCGTCTGTCTGTTTTCTGTTGTGTCACACATAGATCAAAAAGTATTTGGCCTAGAGTCATGAAACTTTCAAGAAATGTTGATCAGCATGTGTAGTTGTGCACCTGGGTCTTTTCATGTGGATATACAGTGAAAGTTGAGAAAACCGGACAGCTTCCGAACTGATGGTTTTGTCCAGTTTTCTCAGCAGTCAGGTTTTCTTAATGTCCCTTCCAGGACGTACTGACTAATGACTTGCCATGAATGCCAGTATATTTGCATTTTCATGATCATATGTATGTATATTCATTATTGCTGAATAAAGAAATGATGGAGAATGACAAAATAACAAGTTTTATTTCAAATTTTTCAAATTATGTCTAAATGCAATAAAATTTTGGATTTAAAACATACAACAGTAACCTCATAACAATAATGTCTGATTATATCCGTATATGTTTACATTTTGGTACTGGATAATGATTTAACAAACACAGTTTAAAATGAACATGTTTAAGATAACATGCAATTTGATTTTTTTACACACAAAACCTCTTTTTTTACAAAATTATACTGTCTTAAACTCTTTAATTAATTTATCTTTGATATATATAGACAGCTCTCATCAATAGAATAGAACTTGGTGCCAATAAATGTCTTTTTACGTGGCGCTGCCATTTTGGAAATAAATATACAAAAGCAAAGCATTATAAAAAAACTCTTTTTTATACATACTGATTTTACCTTACCCCGCATTTTGGCATTAATTATTAAGAAAACAGTAACATCTTTGCTTTACAATAAATCAAACTGTGAAAAGAGACATAATAAACAAATCAGACAATCAGTGTTCTGTTACCGCTCAGTTAGCATATAAGACACAACCAGTTGACAAGTACACAAGATTATTCACACCTTCGCTGTCCGGTATTGTCAGGGTAATTATCTATGTATTGACTTCGTAGTCCCCTATCAATCGTCGATTTTCGTTTTTACAGATTCCAGTATTGTCAATATTTAATGCAATAGTTTAAAGAAGGCAAAATCTGGGACTAAATTATGTGTCATCTATTTAGAGAGTTCCGATTTTCCCAGTGTCTGGTTTTTCCCAACTTTCACTGTATTTAGTATTTTTAGAGTTATTAGATTTTTAGATTTATGGCCCTTGACTTAGTGAAAATTTGCAAATTTCAATTTGTGTCATGCGTAGATCAAAAAGTATTGAACATACAGTCATGAAACTTAAAAGGAATGTTGGTCAGCATGTGTAATTGTGCACCTAGGGTTTTGTTTGTGGATTTATTCAGTATTTCTAGAGTTATTACCCTTGACTTAGTATAAATGTGCAATTTTCCACTTTTTCATGCATAGCTGAAAAAATATTTGACCTATAGGTCTGAAAGTTTACAAGAATGTTCAGGTCAGCCATGAACTTATGCACATTGGGGTTTGCTTATGGATTTATTCAGAATTTGTAAAGTTCTTGCCGTTGATTTAGTAAAAAAAATTTAGTTTTCGAATTGTGACACATGTAGCCCCAAAAAAATATTTGACATAGAGTCACAAGATTTACAGAACAGTGGAGTAAGGGGGCATCAGTGTCCTATGGACACATTTCTAGTTGGCAATTATTTTACTTTAAAGTGCATTTTTGAATAATTTCCCTGGTTATTTGAAAACGGGTATTTATTTTAAGTCAAAATTACCATTAATTTCCACCAATATGAATGATACGCAATGAGGCAGATTTACTTGTTTTATTTACAAAGTTAGCATCAGTATTAATGCAGTCATGTTCACACCTTTTGGACTTATTAGATCTTTTAAAACAACATGTCTTCAGAGCCTATTCATCCATTATTTGGGCAATTATACATATTTCTTTCCTAAGACGGATTTTTAAATTCAGAATTCATGATTCTATGATCTTGTCAATTTCAGAGGTTTTATTTTTTTAATCACCTGTTTTGCACTCTTTTACAGGTACATTTATCCTTTCTAATAGTTGGGCACACCCATGAAGATGTTGACTGTGCATTCAGTAAAATATCTGAAACATTGCACAAAAAAGATGCAGAGACATTGGAAGAACTTCTAGCTCTTCTTCCAAGAACCGGTCTACTCACAGACATGATGAATGTTAAAGGGTGGCTTGCCCCAGCTGTAAATGAAGTTTGTGGAGTGAGTAGACCGCTTCATTACAAGTTCACAAAATCAGATCAGGAAGTTAAAACCTTTTACAAAGGCCAGCATGATCATCCATGGACACAGCTTAGTGGTAACTTTTTAAGTTACGTCCCAGATGGAAGACCAACTAGATTGGTCCCGGACTATTCAAACATTGACTGTGTTGTCCAAATGAGAGAGATTACAAATTTGCAACACATGTTTAAAAAGCCAACAACGTTGAATAAGTGGATTCAATTTTATGAGAGTATAGGAAATGGAACGTTTGACCAGTGCCTTTCAGATGAAGAGAATAGAAACATCTGGATTCTGGACCATTTGCCAAAACAAACACAATCTGAACAGTTTGTTTGTGTTATTCCAGAAGTCATAAGGCTAATGGAGAGGGAAACTGAAGTACCAGAGGTAAGATAAAGATTATGTAATTTTTTGTGAGCATATGTGCATGTGTCATAAATGTAACATTACATTACTATATGAATTAATTATAACGGTATAATATAATTATGCTTAATAAGGAGACAAGGAATTCCTGTTTAGAGTTCAAAATATCAGAAGTTTGCATTAGGAAATATTGTAATTGATGTTGATTGCACCATAGAAGGGTAAATTATGCAGGATGTTGACAATTTTACAGAATTATGGATGTTTTTATTAGTTTATAAGTCTTACATCTTCATCTGAGCAGTTAAGAAAGTTGTTCCCGAGAAAAATAAAACCGAGAATCATATTTTCTTATTCGGACATAACTTTAAAGAGCAAAAGAATAAACAACCGAGAATCATGTGCAGGGGATATAGATTATAATTATACACATCAAAGATATAAGTCTTGACATACTTGTTCACTACGAAATTTGAAAGGCATTATAATGAGCAGATAATCCAAAAAGCCATGTCTGCATAATTATTTCCCTTCTTTTTACTTAGAATAATTGCAATTTTCATTTATTGACTATTGATTTATCTGGCTTTGAGAAAGAGAAGGATGCTGTCAGGTGGCAGGTCTTTGTAACTCTTACTATCCCTGTATATATGTGTACAAAACTGAACATTTATAATTATAGTCTGTGCGAAAGTCTGTCGGTCCTCGGACCTCGCCAACTAAAAATCAGGAGGGCCGAGATAAATTTCAATAGTCAGTCCTCATGTCTGAATAAAATTTAAGCCACTTCGAAACAATTTCTAAAATATGCAAAACTTCCTAGATCGATTTTTTTTTTTCATTTTTGCTTGTATTCAAAGACCCAGATAACCAAAATCACCGCAAGATACAACCAGTTTTTGCTAAGTAATGTAAGCCATCATCTTGTCTCGGATAATTTCCTTACCAAACATATTTTTTCTCCAATCTTCCAGTCTTCAAATTTAACCTTTAAAAGATGTATCGTTTCCTTATGAATTATACTAATGTTTTATTTATTATGTTTCTGTATATTTTTTTCGAAAGTATCTTATAGTTGAGTCTGATAATTCATATTTGCTAAATATTTTTGTTTATAATTATGGCATTATCCCTCCCCCACCCCAACAAAAATACCTTTCAGAGTCCGGGCCGGGAAAAAATCATCAGGGCCGGAAATAAATCTAAGGATCCCAGTACTTGTGGCTGGAAATTTTTTTTGATTTTCGCATTGACTGTAATTATATCATAATTAAGCTCTGTTTCTGTCTTCAGATCAGATTTAGAAAACGTTTACATCAAACTGGACAGGATAAGAGTGATACAAAGAGAGGGAAAACATAAACTGGTGTTAAAAGGTAATAAGTTTTATATATAAATCCTGAATTTTTCTCTTTTAATGCCTCTGGGCATATGGTAATTGAACTGTCTGTCCTTCCATATGTGGTTAACCTAAAACGACAAGTTGAATTTTTCTTAAGTTCTTCCTGTAATAATGGCTTCATTATTTACACACTACCACTCAAAACAAGGTACATGATCTTGTAGAACTCTGGCTTCCAATGTTTTTCAAGTTCTTGGACTTTGAAATGGATATGGTTAAACTAAAGCAGCAAGTTGGATATATCTTAAATTCTATCTATACTCATAATTTCCATACTTACTTATCAATACAAGGTACATGATATTGCCAAGTTATATAACTGTGCGATCCATTTTACAGTCACAGTCTGACTTGCCCATGTTACCACTTGTATAATGCATCTTTTTTGTCATATAACAACATAAATGGTTTTAGAGAACGCCTTTTCGTGATGTCACAAGTTTCAACAATCAAAACACAATATAAAATGTGTGAAAAACTTTATATCCAAACAGTTTTTAGTTTATGCAAATGAAGCTTTGAAAAACATGTGAAGTGTATTTTCCAATAAAATTGATCGAACAAAGCAATGCTCTGCCCTACAGTGATATGTCTTTATTATCTTTTGCATGCCTTTCAATTTCATGTGCCCCCATTGATCTATGATGGAAATTCAAATTTTGATTTTAGACTTTTAGACCTCTCAATAAAAGTTTGTTGTGTACAGAATTAATTTATAACTCCAAGGGAGATTAACCACAGAATGGTAACATTCAAGAGTTATAATTCTTGGAACTAGCTGCCATTCATTATCATTTTCATATTCTTTTTCTTCTTTCAGGTAGATGTCGAGTTCAATGGAAGTCGGATGGAATGATTTCCACTCAAAGGCACCATGAGATACAGAAATTGAAGTAATTGATGATGTCAACAAGCCAAACTTTGCAAATTATTCAACGTATAGCCTTAGACAGATACTGCGTTCAGGGCAAAGTCAGGCGAAAACTTCACAGACTTAATTCCAGAATGTATCTTAATTTCGTTTTCGACAAGATCATTTAACTGGAGATAAGTCTTATACCATTGGTCATTATAACAGTGGACTAATTTTTTTTTCTTATTAATTTGAATTGAATAATTTACATGGTCAAATACTCTAATTCAAGGCTTTTATAATCAAATGGTTTTTTGTGTCGCCTTGAAAAAGTGACATATAGGGGTTACTTTTGTCGGCGGCGGCGTTCTCGGCGTCGGCGCCCTAAAGCTTGTCCGGAGCATTACTCAGTCACTATAAGTCTGATTGACTTCAAACTTGGTATGCATGCTTCTTTCAATAACTCGAAGTGCACAAGGACTGGTACTCTGCAGTTCTGATTTTTTTGAGTTATTGCCCTTTGTTAATTTTCATACTTTAATTTTGTCCTGGTTATTTCTCTTCAACTAAAAAACCTATGGACTTGAAACTTCATAGGATGATACATCTCATTAAGAAGAAGTGCAGTGCACAAGAATCGGTACTCTACATTTCTTAATTTTTGAGTTATGGCCCTTTGTTAATTTTCATACTTGATTTTTGTCCAGGCCATTTCTCCGAAAGTATAAAGTTATAGACTTGAAACTTCATAGGATGATAGATCTTATTAAGAAAAAGTGCAGTGCATAAGAACTTATACTCTGCATTTCTTATTTTTTGAGTTATTGCCCTTTGTTTATTTTCTTACTTTATTTTTGTCCTGGTTATTTCTCCTCAAGTATGAAAGCTATGGACTTGAAACATCATAGAATGATAGATCTTATTGATAAGAAGTGCAGTACACAGAAACTGCTGCTCTGCACTTATTATTTTTTAGTTATTTTTCATATTTCATTTTTGTACTGGCCTTTCTCCTAAACTACATTGTTCACAAGGCGACACATCTGACTCTCAGAGTTCTAGTTTATTTTAATGTTTGTGCATGTATTATTTATATGAGTAAAATGTATGTTGTTTGTACATATGGTATATATAGTTGATGTGACAATGTATTCAATTGTAAATATGTTTTGCTCTCCAAATATGGAGGAAATAAAAGTACCTCTGGAAATTCAATAACGTGGTATTATAAATATTGTAGTAAATATTTTTACTCTTGGTTATATAGTAGTTGGCCAAAATTTTAAGCTTGTAGCATTTCATCAAACAACCCTTGATTTTCATGAAACTTAGAAAACTGATTTGTGTTATAACATGTAAGAAAGCCTTTTTTTTAATTTCAAGTCTGCCCAATGTTAGTAAATATATTCTTGTTTTGTTTGATCAAACCTAGTTAAATTTTATAGTTTTTTAAACATCATTGCAAGTTTTTCAGTCAATTTTAAAAGTCTGTAAAATGCCATTACATTTTTAATTGTAGAAGACTAACTTATACTGTACATATGTTAGAAAAATTGTAGATGTGTTAGAATTATATTTATATATCTGTAAATTTGTTTTAATGCTATAGACTGTAAGAATATAATTCTTTTTTCATTTTGTAAAATGTTCTGTGCTGGATCATTTTGAATGAAAACTTGTATTTAAATGCTTCTATCTATTGTCAGTAATTCTTTTTATTTTAATTTCCAAAATGTTTGGTGCCATAACATGTTGAATGCAAACTTGTATTTAAATGCTTTTATCTATTGTCAGAAAATCTTTTCTTCTTTTTAATTTGGAAATTGTTTTACATCCAAACATTTTGAATTTAAACACAGATTTAATGCTTTAGTCTAGTCATACAATAATTCGTTTCTTTTTTACTTATTTCGCAAAGTGCTGAACATTTTTTTTTTTCAAAGTCATCAAGTTTTTATTATTTTCAAAACTTATTTGAAATAAAGAAAGTAATTTTTAAAAAATTATACAAAATGTTCGGTGCCCTAACATTTACCATTAGTGAATTCTTTAATGCTTAAAAAAGTCCCTTTTATATATTTTGTATATGGTATATTGTAGTTCTGTAAATTGTTCGGTGCCCTAACATTTTGAATGAAAACTTGTATTTAATACTTCGGTCTACTGTCAGTAAATCTTGGGTTTAATTTTGAAATTGTTCAGTGCCCTAACATTTTTAGTTAAAACATAGATTAAACACTTAAGCCCATCGCCAGTAAATCTTTTTTTTTTAATTTGAAAAATGTTCGGTGCCCGAACATTTTGAATGAAAACTTGTATTTAATGCTTTGGTCTATTGTCAGTTAATCTTTGTTTTAATTTGGAAATTGTTCGGTGCCCTAACATTTTTAGTTAAAACATAGATTAAACACTTAAGTCCATCGCCAGTAAATCTTTTTTTTTTAATTTGAAAAATGTTCGGTGCCCAAACATTTTGAATGACAACTTGTATTTAATGCTTTGGTCTATTGTCAGTTAATCTTTATTTTAATTTGGAAATTGTTCGGTGCCCTAACATTTTTAGTTAAAACATAGATTAAACACTTAAGTCCATCGCCAGTAAATCTTTTTTTTTTTAATTTGAAAAATGTTCGGTGCCCGAACATTTTGAATGAAAACTTGTATTTAATGCTTTGGTCTATTGTCAGTTAATCTTTATTTTAATTTGGAAATTGTTCGGTGCCCTAACATTTTTAGTTAAAACATAGATTAAACACTTAAGTCCATCGCCAGTAAATCTTTTTTTTTTTAATTTGAAAAATGTTCGGTGCCCGAACATTTTAAATGAAAACTTGTATTTAATGCTTTGGTCTATTGTCAGTTAATCTTTGTTTTAATTTGGAAATTGTTCGGTGCCCTAACATTTTTAGTTAAAATATAAATTAAACACTTAAGTCCATCGCCATTAAATCTTTTTTTTTAATTTGAAAAATGTTCGGTGCCCGAACATTTAGAATTAAAACTTGTAATTAAATAAATGCATTGGTCTATTGTCAGTTAATCTTTGTTTTAATTGGAAATTGTTCGGTGCCCTAACATTTTTAGTTAAAACATAGATTAAACACTTAAGTCCATCGCCAGTAAATCTTTTTTTTTAATTTGAAAAATGTTCGGTGCCCGAACATTTTGATGAAAACTTGTATTTAATGCTTTGGTCTATTGTCAGTTAATCTTTGTTTTAATTTGGAAATTGTTCAGTGCCCTAACATTTTTAAAATATAGATTAAACACTTGAGTCCATCGCCATTAAATCTTTTTTTTTTAATTTGAAAATGTTCGGTGCCCTAACATTTTGAATTAATGCATTGGTCTTTTGTCAGTTAATCTTTGTTTTAATTGGAAATTGTTCGGTGCCCTAACATTTTTAGTAAAAAAATAGATTATACACTTAAGTCCATTGCCAGTAAATCTTTTTTTTTAATTTGCAAAATGTTCGCTGCCCTAACATTTTGAATGAAAACTTGTAATTAATGCTTTGGTCTATTGTCAGTAAATCTTTGTTTTAATTTGGAAATTGTTCGGTGCCCTAACATTTTTTGGTTAAAACATTGATTAAAAACTTGAGTCCATCGTCAGTAAATCTTTTTTAATTTGTAAATTGTTCGGTGCCCGAACATTTTGAATGAAAACTTGTATTTAATGCTTCGGTCGATTGTCAGTTTATCTTTTTTTTAATTTGGAAATTGTTCGGTGCCCTAACATTTTTAGTTAAAAAAATTTTTTGATGCTTTAATCTGGTCAATGACAGTAATTCATTTATTTTAAATTTCACAACATGTTCGGTGCCCGAACATTATGTAGTAGGAGAATAATTGTTGCCAAGAAGTTTTAGATATAGAAGTTAATTTAGAAATGTGAATTGTGTATGTAAATATTTGATCTGTTAATAAAATTGCTTTTGATATTTCAATGATTTTAATAAAGAAATGTCCATTTATATAAATTTGCCTTGATTTTTATGTACCAGTTTATCCACTGAAATGACCAAAAGAGCCATAATAAACAGGAATGATTGGACATTCCTCTTTTATATTGTACGCTGTTAATAGTTTAAATTTGATAAGGTTTTAAATTGAAATGTTGCAATTCTATGTTTTTGAAAAATGTGCTTTTTTATCAATTTACTTAAATGCGACAAAGTACCCAAGTTCACAAGGTTTAACTAAAATAAATAATATGTATTGAAGAATTACATAATTCTACGGCCAAACTCGAAATGTAATTATTATCTAACACATATCTGCCGATGCGATGCCAATTTTTGTTATATTGTTTTATAAATAAATGCTAATTTTGAAATGTTCATTTAAGTCAATCAAAGATAATTTATATAACTGATTGTTGATTTTAACCATTTGAGAATTCTCTTTCTGGAATATAAAAGCAACAAAGAATCGAAAAAATTAAAAACAAAACTTTTGTAAACATTGAGCTAAGATGTTCATTAATATTGGATTATTGTTTTTGGATACAGGTTAATGATCAATTGTTCCTAATGGCTGGATTGGAAAAATGACGACTGTTTACACTTTCAACAAATCTTTAGCTATTAGTTAATTTCACAAATTAAATTTAAAAAGAAAACTCTGTAATTTGGCCATGTCTAATCTCTGAGTTAACTCACGAATTTCATGTAAAAAATAGAGATATATTATGTTTGTATATGTGGTGATCTGATTAGCATCATTACCGTGTGTGGCAGTTATAAAAATATGATTATCTTACATTTCAACCGTGCCTTAAATATTAATATATCATGCAACATTAAATATCAACGATCATTTAAATAAAAACTAAAACTCTAA